ATATGTACAAGTTGCACTGTACGTGTCGCTGCACTTCCATTCGCACCTTCCGAGGTCTGCTTTGATCAGAAATCAGAAGTGCTAATTGGAAACTGCTTAAAGTACTCTCCTGTCATGGCTAGGTCTAGGTGAACACCTCTTGAGTCTAATGGCTCTCAATGCTCTCAATGCATGGCCTTGCGTGGCTCACTGCTTGGTGGCATCTTTTTGACGAATGTCAAGGTGCAAATCCTAGTGACCAAATCCTGGCTTACAGTATATGAGGAAATTGCATGGGTCTGAAGTTCTTGAGCAAGTTACTCAAATTGCACTCTCCCAAAGAACGATTGGAATAGGTTGAATAGGTTTAAATGGAGGCTTGAGCCCTTCAGAATGTAAATGGTAGGCTATCCATGTCTTTTCGGAACAAGCGCTTGGCGAGTACTTATTGGTATCTTGACACAAACAGGTCCACTGCAAGCGATGGGCAAATGTTCACAACACGCCCTTGACGTTGTTCTTCGATGGAGTGTCGCAAGAGCCTATTTGACTTTCTTGAATTCTAATTCTAATATTCTAAATTCTAACTGCTTTGAAGCCACTTGTCTCTGGCAACTTTTGATAACAACTGCGCCTGTCTCCCTCCCTTAACCCCTGCCACTGCTTGCCTTTTACTCTCTTTTGGATAGCGTCCTGTCTTCAGAGTAGGTATAACATCCAGCTTCAGTAACTTCTATTCTTTCAAGATCCTGTGTCACCAATTTGTAGCCGCGAATGCACAAATCTTCAGTTGCAGCGCCTGCTTGTTCGTCATCCGTCAGGCCGACAAAGTCCTGACCTTTGTTGTGCACGTTCAGCTTCGGAATGTGCAAAGTGACCCCGGGACCCGCAACAATTCGCAACGCCCCGTCCAAGGTGAGCTCACCCAAATAGACATCTCCGCGAATCTCCAGGCTGCTCCTCGCGGCGATAGACAATTTTGACACTGCTGTGAGTCTCTTGCGGAGGCCAAACATGGAGGGTGCAAAGTCTGGCCACAAAACCACCGCAGGGCCCATGAGTTGTGGGCCACCTTTCCAATGTCGCTCTTCTGGGTCTGCCACTGAAGCCCCCCAAAATTCTCAACATGGTGCAGTTTGCATCATAAACAGCTGCTTCAGCCGAAGCAGCCCCGTGGGGTGGTGTTCCCTGGGAGGCCAAGCGGGCAGCTGTTGCGATATCGTTCTTGCATGGAAAGTAGCCAAATGTCAAGGGATAGCGGGTAAAGCCAACCTTTGCATCTGCTTTCAACAGTCGCAGAAAGTCTTGCATCATACATTCCAGCCGAGTTGGGCTTTTGAACATACTCCGGGTTTGATCTGTGTACTTAGGATTGATAAATTCCGGCATTTGCCCACCATTCGTTTCCAACTCGGACAAATATTCTGGAAGTGCAAAAATGAGTTCGTTGGTGTTGCCAGGATAGGGTGAAAATCCATCAGGTCCATTCACGTCACCATCATGTCCAGTGGCTCTAAGGAGTGGCTCCAATTGATTGTACTCAACGTTTGCGACGATGCTATGACCATCTGTGTGCGTCAAACGCGCAATGGAGCCAACAGCCTCCTTGGCTTTTCTTGGCATCGTGACGACGTTTGCCAAAAGGCAATGTTTGGCAGAAACGCCAAGAGAACATAAAAAGGTGGTGAGATACAACGTGTTGGTGTCCTGAAAGAAAAGTATCCACTTCTTGCCTTCAGTTTGCCAGCGACGTGCCAGTCCGCTTTTGTGCAACAAAAAGTGTACGTCGCCATGCCCATGAGGTTTTGTAGCCACCTTGTAAGGACCTTCCATGCTGAGCAAGGCATTGCTGTTTGCTAATGCTCCCACTTTCTCCTGTAGAAGGACAGTCACCTGGCCCGGTTCAAGGCCATAGTATTTGTTGCTTTTAAGCAGGGCCTTGATGCCAGCCTCAGTATCCCCACTCGCCATTATGACCAGCGGCAACTGACATCTTTGCGCGCTAGGATCGTCTTCTTCTGCCAATCTTTGAAAGGCTTGTAAATAGGCACAATAGACCTCCAATACACAACTGCCTGTGACTAGCTCCACAGGAAGAGCAAACTTCACTCCGCTGAAGCCCAGGCGCTCCCCGAGCCCACCCGCTGGAATCACAAAACAACAGTTCTGAACTTCTTGCCTTCCCAACTTCTCGTATTCCATATAAGCTTGGGAGCCCACTTCAGGCTGAAAGCCGTCCTTGGGAACGGATGGACTCCACCCTTCAAGTGGATTCTCCCCCTTCGCTGCTTCCTGGCCACAAAGCTAAGAGCTAAGCCGGTTTTCGTTAGTTCTGGTCAAGAAAGGACACATTTTGGCTTGGTTGGTGCCTGAAGCAAGCTCCTCGCATTCTGCAAATAGCAGCCAATGCCTCCTGTCTTCAGGCCAAATCCATATCGCACATGGCTTTTACTCTCTCTCTCTCTCTCTACTCTCTTTATTTGGCATCCATTTGTCCTATCTCATTTGCTTCTTCCCTTTGGGTCCTGGATAATTGCGATCAAGCGTTCCAATCTGTTCAAAAAATGTTTGCTTCTCCTTAGATGGCATGGCAAGAGGCACAACCCCAGCCATGAAAATACGTCCGCTTTGCATCAGCAAACATCATGAGCTAGTGGCTGTCTTAGGTCGACATATTCTGATTTGGCCTGCTATCCAACTAGACTACTTTCAGCCTGATGTTCTACCTTTGTTTGGAAAAACAACAAGCCGTACTTAGGAAGTACAGTTTCTTGGCACATGTATGAACATGTCACGAATTTGACATGCGTCTGCATCATGAGTACCAGCTGGCTCCCATGCGCTAAAAACCTCTCGCTGCCCAGCTGACACCAGTAGCTCTGCCATTGCCACTTGCCTTGCAGTAAGCAAATTCTTGGATTTTACTCTGTGAGCACCTCTGTTTCTCCCTCTCTCTATATATATATGTATTTGTGTGGTGGCATTTTTAGTTTCATTGGAAGTTGATGTAGCCACTTTCAAATCTGAATGACATATTGTAGACATGGCACTCGGCCGTGAGCTGCTCCAGGTTTTCAGCCAGTCCCGGCACTGACTGCAAATCCATAGTCAATGCTGCTAGTTTTTGATTCTGAGATGATCAATCTGTCTGTCCCTGCCACATTCGATTCACTGGGGAGAAGCACCGACAGTGAGTGCGTTACAATGCAACATGGCACCATATTGCACCAGTTAGATGTAGAAATCTCTTGGATGTCGTGGAGTTCATACTTTGAAAGCTAACGTGGCCGCCAAAGGAATTTGCTTTGAATATGGGTTCCAAATACCTTTAGAAAGCTCGTGTTTCAGGCAGGGTAGAATTATTGTGCATTCATTCATGTGCATTCTGCAACTTGAGCTTTGCAGGAGCGAGAAAAGTGGAAGAAGGGGATACATATATGCTTATATGATATCCGCCGACCCCGCCGGTTGAAGGGGGCGCGCGCCAGAGGAGGCAACCGAGGGCATGCTTCCGTGACAGCAGGCGGCTTGAAGCGTGGCTGAAGGGTCGAAAGCGGAAGA